TTCTGTCTTGAACAAAAATAGTTAAGAAAAACTACAGAAATGGCTGTAAAAGTTTTTAAAAAGTATCTGTATTGGCAATACTGGTCCAATATTTACTTGGTATTAGATCGATTCCTAAATACGCATCATACCTCTACCTTTTTGCAGGGTGACGATCATAAACATGCAGCCAATGCCACAATAAAATTATTTAGATCAGAGCATTTTCATTAGCTAAAATGACCTAGTTAAAGTAAAGCCCTCAAGGAAACTAATAACCTGTGAAAAGATTAGAGATTGCCGTTTACTCCATCCAATCTGACTGAGCTGGAGCTATTTCTGCAAAGAGAGTTTGGCAAAATAATATAATCAGAACACATCACATAAAGTCCCAATAAAATACTTTTTAAGTTGTAATTTGGCAAAACGTAATAACATAAAATAAGGGCTGTGAATACTTTTCACAGCTGTGGAAGTTTTGTCTCATCTAATTCTATAAGAGCAAAGATAAGGTCAGTATCAACTTGTCTTTCTACATGATATTTAATGTTTCCAATTTTCCAGATGGACAACGTCTCTTTGCCACTTATGTTGTTTCTAAAATATGACTGTCTCAGATATAAATTATAGATTTTAAAAAGTACGATTTTCTGATAAATTGACTACTCAGCTGTTTGAAATACTTTTTAATTTAACGATTACGAGTCCAACCTACGGATTCAGGCAGACGTGAATCCTCAGGGCTCCGTTCTGAGAGTCAGGTGGCAGCAGTGAGTCGCCCGTCTGGGTCCACAAATCTGGTGGTTCTGGTTCTTTGTCTCTGTTTGATGTTTTCCATGTTCTTGAATTTACACGACACTCGCCTAGTTTAGCCAGATCCATCAGAACAAACACTCCACTGGCACTTATCAGCAAGAGCTGAACCAGATGTTAATCCACAGGTAAAACCCTTTTATTCTTGATTCCGTCTTTTTTTTTTTCTTTTTTTTTTTTGTAAGCATAAATCCACACATTGTTAAAGTCGTTCAGGGCTTCATCTGAACGTAAACCTGACTAAACGCATTAACATCAGTTACTTACAAGGTTATGATGGTTAAGTAAAACCAATGAAATAATGAAAAACTGAAATTGAGAAGAAAAAAAACCTGAAATATTTAAAACTGTTGTTAATGGGAAAACTATAACTAACTGGAACTATATTGTGCATTTATAAAACTAACTAAAACATATTGAAATTATAAATATAATATCCTTTATTTTTGTGTTTATGAATATATTTATTAGTCTTTTGAACTGATGTGAAATTAACTCCCCACACTAGCAGTTTACGTCAGCTATCAGCAGATTATGACTCTTTATAATCCTCCTTGCAGCTTTTACACTAGTCTGCAAAACGCCGACTAGTTGGAATAAAACACCAGTCAGTTTTTGTTCAACAATCATTCAATACTTTCACCTTTTTTAATTCTGCATTGACGTAAGAAAAAACTAAAACCACTACAACTAATAAAGACTAAACTGAAACTAAATATTTTACTAATAAAAACTAGTAAAAACTAATTAAAGCTAACTGGATTAGATGAACAAAATGTCACAATGAAATAAAACTAAACCATAATGAAAACCCCAAAACTATTACTACGGTGGACTGTCACAATAAAAGCTAAACCGAAGAGCCTCAAACGCTGATATGTTTCTAAACCAAGCACAGAGTGGTGAGGTGGTGGTGGGAGGGAGGAGGGGGGCGGTGACAGCTTTGAGAAACACTCACCATTAGCAGCCCTGAGACCCCCCACCGTCCAGTCTCTTTCACTCTGAGCCTCCTCTCCTCGGGCCTTTGACCATCACAAGGATGCCACACAAACCCCGGGCCCTCCCCCTCGTGGGGCTGCCGCCCCCATACCGGCTGCTGGCCTTTTCCCGGTCGTCTGATCCATATTTCAGAGGCGGCAGCGGAGACACCGAGGGGGTTATAATCCCACATTAAAGAACCGAGGCCCGGCCTTGTGAGCGCGCGGTGCGCCAAGGTTCACAAGGTCCTACAAATCTCCAATTTCTGATTTTGGCAGAGTCTGCAGTCAGTTCCAAGGTGCTGAGCCGGGGGAAGAAGACACAGTCAATAGTATCCTTTTTTTTTTGTATAACATTATGTTTATGTAAAATGACCCTAAATTGAAAGAGCTATCTCCTATGACATTAAAGTTTGAAGACAATAATAATAAGTCAGTCTGTTCATTGGTCAGATGGAGAGGTGGGTAGAGTACCCAGGAATTGTACTCAAGAGTAGTGATACTTCAACGTGTTTTCACTCAAGTAAAAGTAAATAGTAGCCGTCCAAGAAAAAAAAATCATATTTGGTAAAAAGTCAACTCAAGTACTGAGGAACTTATCATTTAAAATTTAGAGATTACATCAGCAGACAGACCAAAATATGAAGTTAGGTGGAAATGTTTGTATTTTAAAGGCCAAAATTAAAGTAATTCATAAAAACAGCATAATTACAAAAATAACAATAGCAGGCAAAAGGAAAATTTCTCCAAATTATTAAACTTTAACAAAAACTTCAGATGTGTGTCTGTGTCCAGTGAAGTTTTGGTTCAAAACGAGTTTTTTCTTCATCCAGTGAAGTTACTCACATCCAGGAATTTTTCTCAAGTATCAATACTTTAACGTAGTTTTACTCAGGGAAATGTAAGAAGTAGTCGTCCGAGAATTTACTCAAGTAAGAGTAAAAAAGTATTTAGTAAAAAGTCTACTCAAGTACTGAGTAACTGATCAAAACATTGATCGTTTAATATTTAAAAAATGACATCATCAGACGGATCAAGACGTAAAGTTATGTGGAAATTTAGTTATTTTAAAAGCCCAAATTAAAATAATTCATATGAATGATAAAATCAGGCAAAATCAGTTTCATTCAGTATAAAACTTATAAATCTTTAACAAAAGCTGTAGCTTTTTGGTTAAAATGAGTTTGTTCTTCATCAGTGCAGGTACAGTGGACAGAGTATCCAGAACAAAAAGTTGTAAAAAATATTCCTAAAAAAAATTTTTTCCCCCCACAAAAAAGTTACTCAAGTAAATGTAACTGTAGTTATTACCCAACTCAGATGTGTCGATACAGGAAGTAGATTCTGTAGGAAACAACAGAGAGTTTAATCATATCATTATTGTGTTTCTGGTTACTGCTTCAGTTTACCGTCATAAAAGTTTCACAGCCTTTTTCTACTTGTATGTTTACTCTACAGCGTCCCACAATGCAACACAAACCTGACTACAGGAAACGTTCGGATCAAGTTTGTTTCATACAACCTAGTAGCTTTGTCGGATCACATTCACTCCGTAAACAAACTCTGGTTGGAACCGTACAGAGACCATGACCTCAAAGTGGTTGTTTTGGTCGAGTGCCATTGGCCGTTTTCACATCCGCTCACGCAAAAACTGTGCCAAGAACGAAGCCCCTCGAGGTCATGCGATGAAATGTCTGAGGAAATGCCGTAGTGATGTGTGCTTCCCCCACCTGTTGCTGACCAAAACATGGCTGCTCAATGTCTCCGTCACTAACAAGGAGGACAAATTTTGTCTCTTTCGAAATATTTCAAGTTGTGGAAAACGCAAACAGTCATGGCCTGATGTTTGAAGACACATCGACCATTTCTCCACTTTAAAACTAGCTGACATACTGCAAAGTTCAAGAGGTTAGCTTCAAAACTGCCCAATTTCTGTTTCAGTCAAATATTTGGTTTAAAGTTTGTCACGAGATGCCAGAGAGCGTGATAGAGCATGTGATGACGGTTCTGCACAAACTTCACCAAAAAACATAGAAATTTGTTCACTGCCTGGACGTGGCGAGAACAAGAACAAAGTTCGTTGCAGCCAAAACATTTTGTACTTCAGTAAAAGTAAAGCGCAGAATACCTGGGAAGTCATCATAGGTCTCCCTAGATGTTCCTGCACATTTAAAATCTCTGACAAATCAGGCAACACGTTACAGGAGTTCTGCCCTGAACCCGAGTCAAGAACAAACTACGAGAACTCTCAAGGTAAACCACATTTACCCGTTCTTGTAGCTTTTTACTGGTCTTCAGACAGTACTACCCCTGATTGACTGCAATATTCTGCAGCCAATAAGTCAAAAGGAGGCGACAATTTACGAACCAAAGGTCATTTTGGATTCTTATCTGAAAATATTCTACTATTGCAACCGACTGTGTTTGTTTTAAGAGATAAACCCCAACAGCTTTGAGTGGAGGATAGACTAGCATAGTACTAAACGCCCCCATCTTGTCAGCTGGCTAAAAGAAAGCTCCTATACCAAATGTGTCTCATATTAATCTCCCACTGGTTTAAAAATATAGTTGACAATATGAGTCTATGGGCCCCATATGGACATTTTTCATGACTAGATGGGCACTAAGCAGACTGGGCATCAAAAAAAACCTCGTAAGATTCCAAACTCAGTTAGGTACCCGATAGTTCCTGTCTGGGCCTTATTAGGGTAATAAGAAAAAAACTTTAACTGTAAACACACTTGGTAACCATATGGGTCACACACAACATTCTTCAGATCATTTTCTACCCATATGGGCCTCATAATGATAATGTTGCCTGGGTCCAATTGGCATGTCATTTAACCAGCCTGGTTCTACCTCAATAACTAACCAGCTAATATCAGCTGGTTGTAGGTATGTCACTCCATAAGCAGAAGAAGAAGAAGAAAAAGAAAAGAGCGTTAAGTGCTACCATGGCGACTGAATCTAACAGGTGTTTGTTCTGTATGTTTAAGTCAATTTACAGAACAAAAGTTATGATAAATAGATAGCATTATTATAACTGTGATAAACAATATCTTATCTTATTTTAGGACCAGAACAAACAAATGTTTTTGTTTTTTTCAGTTTTTAAGGAAAAAAAATTAAGTTCTTATACATTTTTGGTTTGAATGTTTTTGTAACCGTGTTAGTTTTACACAGTCAGATTTCTTCGAAAAACCCTAACAAAAAAAAGTGGAGAGGTTTTCAATAATAAACGCTTATACTGACATTTATTTAGGTCCCAAAAAAATATACTCTTTAAAGACAAATTCATAATGTGTATTTACAAATTTCCAAGGGTTTTTTTTCCATTCACAACAGAAGAGCAGAAGAAACAAATAGAAAAAACACATAAAAGGAGAAAAAACAAAACAAAAACAAGCAAATCTCTGACATCTCTTTTGCATGTGGACGCTAATACTATAACTGGTCAAGCTTTCAGAAAAATAGCCATCATTTAACTGTTCTCCATTAAATAAAATTATTCTTTTTCTGCTTTTTCCCCCCCCTCTCTTTTTCTCATAGAAAGTTTTTTGCTTCGTCTTCTCATAACGTCGTCGTCAGAACTCGCTGTGGCGTCGTTCCGTGGTGAGGTCTGAGGAGAGGGAACCAAAAACAGACGAGTTATTGAAAATAGTAACAATAAAAAGGGAGCAAAAAGTGTCATTCACGCACGCGTAGTTTTAATATCAGCCTCTGCTTATGGAAATTAAATAAACGGGTTTGTGTCTCACTCCACTTCATTGCTGATGTTGCTATCTCACACATTAGCCTCATTCGCAGAGGGGTAGGGAGGGAAGGGGAGGGCATCTGAATAAATAGTGGCACATTATTTAAATGACATTAGGTGGTGATAAAGCCGCTGACAGAGCAGGAGCAGAAGCAGGAGGGCTGATATCTTGCTCTTCTGCCTGGTGAGGCGTTTAAGTGCTAAATCACATGATTTATGCGCCTGCTGCCCCCTCGCATGTGACGCTGTTTACCTCTGCTCTGAGCTTCATTTAGCAGGAGCCTCACAGAATTAGAGCTGGTGGTGTCACAATAATATCGCGTCAGGAATGATCACCTGTCAGTGATGAGCTGAAAGGGAGACTTCAGGGAATCGGGTCTGCGCTCGCTGTCCTCATCTGCAAAAAAAATTAAGAAATAAAATCAGATCTTATCCAGAACTAATATATGTTTACATATTTACTATTTATACATATTTATAGCAATGTTATTATGGCATGACTAATTAATTTTGGTGTATTTTCTTGTTTCTGGATGACCTCAGATTTCTTTTTTGTTGTTGTTGTGTATTCAGTGAATACTCCATGCAATCTGCTTGGACAGAAACTTTTTAAACTGCTTTTAATAATTAATTAAGCTTCCTGTACTGTTCTGTAACTAGGATCAGTGGAATGTAGGTATGATTGAATTTTAATTATTTTTATGTAGTATGTGTTTAGACATTTATAACATTGAAAATGAATGTCGTCACAAAATAATGGCCGACATTATTTATAGCCTATATATTTAAAAAAAAAATCCAAAAGTGAAGTTACTTAATTGTTTTTAGGAAGGTGGCCACGTGCTGTTAAAAAGTCACCGACAGATAATGATTAATGGAAATAACATGGCTACCATCTCTTTTTGGGCTGAAGCTTCCCGATGACTCCACGTCGCTGTCATCCTCCGAGTCCGACATCCCAGCACTGGCCGCCGCGGCGGCGGGCGCCGGCACCGCTCCGTGCAGCGGCAGGTGTCCGGGCGGCGCGCCGCCCAGCAGCGACCGCATATTCAGAATAGAGTTGGCGTTAATCAGAGCCGCGTTGGCCCAGTTGTGCAGCTTGCCGATCTGGCAAGTGTATATTCCGTGACCCGGCAGCAAGGCCGGGTGGCCGGCGGAAGCCAAAGCCGCCTGTTGCGCGAAGGCCGCGGGGGGAGTAGTTTTGTGCGAGCCGCTGTCGGGGGCCGTGGCGGTCTCCGCCAAAGACCAGATTTTCGGTTTGCTCTGCGGCGCTCTCTGGCACTCCGGTATGCTCGGCGAACGCTCTGCAGCGAGCTTGTCCCCGGCCTCCGCCGACAGCGTCCTCCCGCTCTCCGTGGAGGCCTGCTCCCTGACGGAGAGGCCCGCTTCCCCCTGTCCCTTCCCGGAGCCGGGCTCCCCAGCTCGCTGCTCCTCCGGCCTCTCGATGTCGACAGTTTCCAAATCGATCTCCTCTTCTTCCTCCTCGTCGTCGCTGCCGGTCTTGCCGTGCTCGTCCTCGTTGTCGCTGCTGAAGATGCGGCCGTCCCGGTCCTCGGCGCTGCGGCCCCAGGTCACCTTGTTCTCCTTTTTCAGGCGCCTGCGAGCGTTCGCGAACCACGTAGAGACCTGGGAGAGGAGAAAAAAAAAACATTTTTAAATATATGATAACGCGCACGCTGTGCTATAGGAGTTACATTTTATTTGTTTTTACTGCTGGCTTAGAGAGCAGAAATCAACTACAAACTTTTTCTCTCTCTCTTTTTAAAACGCTGCAGTCATTTTAATTATCTCGTAATTTCTACAATAACGAATAAAAAACTCTTATATAATGCATATTTTATAAAAAAAAAAAAAAAAAAGGAATTTTCTAAATTAGTTTTTTTTTCTACTATAATAAAAAAACATTTTTTTGAAGATAC